CCTCGGCTGTACTTGTACTGGGTTTCGTGCTAATTAGCAGATGTTAGCATGCTACCATGCTAAGCTTAGACGGTGAACTTCATAAACACTTTACCTGCTTATGCGTTAGCATTGTCATTGTAAGTATACTAGCATGCTGACATCAGCATTTAGCTCAAAGCACCGCTATGCCTAAGAAATTTAAAGCATGTCTCCAAAACCAGATTTCCCTTGGGTCTAGACCTTTGAATCCTCCAACTTCAGCAAGTTGACTGTAACGGAGTGTAACGAGTTGCCAATTCGGTCTGATATCAGGCAACGATTTCCCCCATTTCTGTGAAATATTGGAAATTAACAACATACCAACATGAATAATGTGTCGTTAACATTAACAAAAAACTATATCTGGAGGAATAGATACAAAATACCTAAAATTACATTGGTCTTCATGGATGATTATGTACTGTTTGTTGTTGTATTGTCATGCTTTTTGCACACACAGCACACTGGGAGAGAGATAAGGGTACATTTGGCAAAAGGAGTGCACGAGTATAAACACACAGCTTATATTTACAGTGTATACAAACTGCACACTCAGTCCTGCGGCCCCTAAGTTTGCTTGAGGGGAGGTTGCATTTTAGCACGACACAAAAACAGCCTTAGATGAATGTTGCTGGCTCTGTGTGTGTGTCTGCCAAAGCTCCATCTTGTAGCCATAATGCAGAGGGGAGTGTGGGAGTCAGGAGATGGAGAGAGGAAGGGGGGCAGAGTTGTGGCAAACCAAAATCCTTCCCTCCTCTCATCCATTTGATGTTTTTCCTCTCCTCTGTAATAGGCTGATGTGCTTGAGAACAAGGCCAGAAAAAAAAGATTCATCAAGATGAGCTTGAATAGAGGCAACTTTTTAAATCTGCTATTTTCTTGACCTTTTTTTGCACACACGCATATTTTTAAGCCTGGCGTTCCATCGTGGTTTGATTCCAGGCAGAGGCAGAACCATATGAATTATAGATCAGTTTATATTCCAGCAGATCTTATGTAGTCAGCAGGAGAAGAAAACTAAACCAAATGTAACGTTAGCGCTGTTACACTAAAAACAAATAAACCTCTCATGCAGCCTGGGTCGGTCACGTTTTTCAGATAAAGAAAAATTAGTGTCTTCTTAAGCTGAATCGATTAAAAAACTACAGCATGGCAAGCACAGGACAGTTTAGTGTTCGGACTTTAGAGTAACGGATGGCACTATCCGGTTTGTTGATAAACCAAATCCTCACTTAAATGGGAAATCCAGGCAGTGCTGCTGCCAGTTCAGCTGCAGGGCTCTGGATCAGCCTGATTACTTTGGGCTGACTGCAGCAGATCAAAGTAATCCCTGAATACTAAAGAAGTACGTACATGGGACAACCGTGTAGTGCACTGAAGCACAGCGAGATGATGAGAGGGATGTACATTTCGTAAGTATTTAGGGAAGGCAATGAAGGTGCATGTGTGCACGTGTGTGTCTATGTGCAAGTCTCCTTGAAAACACTGCAGTGTGTTTGAGCGTTTAGTGGCGGTTTGCTGCAGAAACAGAGCATGCCGGGTTTTCATAATCAGGATTCTGGGATCACCTTTAGCCCCTGTCATCAGTCAGACCTGTCCTAAAGCTCACAAACAGGGAGAGAGGGAGGAGGGAGGAAATGAAAGGACAGATGGGGACACAGAGATGCTAAGGTCCACGTTTAACATAAGTACTGCAGCCTGAAAAATGAAGAGGATGAAGGCAGTCAGTCGCCAGACTCTAAGAGACTGGCGACTGATGATTCCTCTGAATCTACTGGAATATACTCCGATCAGCCATAACATTATGAGCACTGACAGGTGAAGTGAATAACACTAATTATCTGGTTACCATGGCTCCTGTCTGTGGGTGGGATATATTAGGCAGCAAGTGAACATTTTGTCCTTAAAGTTGATGTGTTAGAAGCAGGAAAAATGGGCAGTGTGAGGATTTGAGCGACTTTGACAAGGGCCAAATTG